TATGTAACTACAAATACAAATGTAGTTATGCAGTAGACGAGTAAGTTTTTAAATTTCGAACAATTTTTTAAAAGTCAGCTAAACAAGCTAACGAAGTTTCCATACAAAAGATAGGTAATTCCAGAGAGATTGGCAAATGCTTTTTGAGTCAATGCATATATAGTATAATTTTCGATCGACTTCAAAAGGGGTGGGACTATATTTTTGATTGTATTCGCGGCTCGCGCAGGAAAACACACCCCATGCATATGAAAAACACACATACATGCATTGATTGTATATTTATAGCTATAGAGTACCACTTATAAGACTCATGCCAAGTTCTTTTTTTTATATAATTGCTATCTGACTCTAGATGCATACATATACATACATATGAACAAACTTCTGAAATAAACTATTAACTATTTTAAGTTTAACTTTACTACGTTGCGTCAAATACTATGCATACAATAATTTAATTAAAATCGTGTAGTAAATATAAATTATTTCTTTTTTTTTGCACTAAAATCCAAATGTAGCGCCCAATTATTAAACGACTGTCACAACTCAAAAAGCATGATTATTGAGATAATGATACAAAATAAATGATTATATCATGGTTCATTTTGTTGTAACATCTTCATGCCAAAATCTTTTGCAGTTTCTGCGTGAAAGGAGAGAGTTTCTGCAACTCAATTTAAAACTTAGCGCGCCTCTCCTGCAAAAACGTGCATTTTGCGTTGTGACAGCCTTTTCGCAAATGACAAAATGTACATATTTACTAACAATCCTTTATCAAGCACGGCTTCACTTGCTCAGATCGCCTCATTCGGAGAACTACATTATGATTGAAAAGTGAAATAGATATATATGTATTTCAAACGAAACCTAAACGATAGGAAAATACAAAACAAAATTAGTGGCAGAATGCAAATGATTGAACTGTAATAGACTGAGAATGTAAGAGAAAAGGAAATCGAAAATAATCTAAAACCAACGACTTCTTTAGGAACATTACAAATCATGGCATATTATATATTATATCTGCATTCAAAAGATAAAGTAAAGAACTGCGTTTTCCATACTTCTGATGAGATCATATTTTATAACTTCGGAATAGCACACACAAATAAAACATCAGAGTGTTAACAGATGTGGATATTTAAATCAAAAATTGCTATAATTTTAGCCTTAGTCGCTGGCCCAGAAAAAAATTTTAAAATTTCCTTGGATTTTCACTGTTTGTTTTGAATTAATATTATTTAATTCAGGAAGTTGTTATAAAGTGCTACTCTCAACTGAACGGAAGTTATTGCATCTTTGTTCCGTTTCATACAGTCCGGTTGCGGTGAAAAGCAAAAGCAAGTAAACAGAAACGTAATTTTTCAAATTTTTTGGATGCTTAAATTTGCAATTCGCACAAATACTACCGGGTTCAAAGTGGTACAGTCGTGCAGTGAACAATACTTTTAGTGTAATTAGTAATTTTCAAGCAAAGAACAAAACTGACTTAAATTCCCATATAAAAATTTAAGATTATCGTTAATTTCTTCATGATCCAATGATCGGACTTAAACCAAATTAATATGGGACCACCTGTGAGTTAGCACCTCACCTCATGAAGTATTTAAATCGGTTAACGTGGTCCAAAGTTATGCGGTAACATACATAAAAAAAATAAAATATTCCGACGAATTGATAACCTTCTCCTTTTTGTGAAGTCGGTTAAAAACTAGCTTAATTCATGCAACTAGCAAAAAATTACCTTCAATAAATTACAAAATGCTTTAGACAATCCTTTAACATTACCTAAAACTGAAAAATTGAGTCGGCTGCAATGCTACCTCAGTGGTTTTTTTAGTACCAGCAACTTAGATTTGAGTGCAAATAGGCTGAAGAAATATCCGCGGCAACCATCAAAATGCAGTTGCCATTCAGCCGCTGGAACCACAACTATAGTTCGGTTGCCATCCCTAATCGGCCTATAAGTTTTAGGAATTTTTAGGGGAAAAATGTCTAGAGAAACTTTCATTTAAAGTTACTTACATATTTTATTAATATCCCTCGCTTCACTTTAATTTGAACGTATTTTTGAATAGGGTTCCCACCATATACAGATATAGTACGCGGTTGCTTTTCCTTGAAGGTCATCAGATCAGAAATGTCAAATTAAAGAGCTTGGCCTATAGATTTACAATGAGATTTTATTGTTTGAACTAAGAACTTTTTTAGCGGGAAAGGGTGATCTAAACTCTGATGAAATGAAAAAGCGACACCATGCGCTACGTCCTTTCAAGCAGAAACGGCTGGACGGGTTTAGATGAAGTTAGGCATACGGATCGCTTATAACTCTGACTACCGTTTACCTATTTACCTGGGCGTTTTAACGCCTTGCGGGTTCACTAGTGTCTTACTATGTCCTGGAGTACAAGAACAAACTATTTGTCTTATATGCTTAAATTTGACAACAGTCGTATAAAAATTGTATAAAAAAGGTTTTTTCTTAGCAGCGGTCCCTAGGCAGGCAATGGCATACCGAGTGTATTTCTGCCATGAAAAACAGCTTCTCATAAAAATACAATCGCCGTTCGGAGTCGGCGTAAAACTGTAGGTCCCTCCGCTTTGTGTGACAAAATCAAGGCGCACGCCACAAATCGGAGGAGAAGCTCGGCCAAACACTAACATATGTGTAAGCGCCAATCTATTATTATTATTATTATTATCAATCAGAGAAGATTGTGTTTAATCTCATTTCGATTACTGATAAATCTGAAGAAAATTAGCGAAAAGAACAAGGGACCTTTTATAAGCGATAAATCTGCTTATTTTTTTTGTCACTGGAATAGGTATTTACAGTACATAAGTGTGTTAGTAGATGTTAATGAAGCTGTCCTAACCAATTCCTGAAACACAGAATATCAGCAGAAGTGTACAAATGGTTAGTAGTTGTAGCCAAGCATCGTATGAAAAAACACGAAATTTAGCCAAAGCAAAAAAGGCTGTACAGAAATGACAGAAGGTCCATTGTGTGATCCGCTTCTTATTGTCGCAATACTCTAACAAAATTATAGAAAAACGATGGTGTTCATGTTAGCATATGGAAGATTAAAAATTTCAAAACGGACCCCAGTAAATGCACCATGTGATAAATTTTGCAGGGCTTACATTCATACAAAGAGAGGCAAGTCTCAACATATGTCACTTATTCTCAGTCAGACCATTTTCATGAATATTCCACCAAAAAACGCAAGGATTTGTACTACAGGAGCTATAAAAAGAAGTATTTTTTTTGCTTCCTCAAGAAAATGAGTGTACGACAATGTGATCACTGAGTCCAAGCTGCTACGAAATATAAGCTACTCTTTATGCGCACTTTTCCCGCCAAGTCCGGATATTAGAAAGAAGATATATAAAAACGTACGAATTGAACTTCTATATAACAAGGAAACGCCTTCGAAGCTTCAGAAAAAAGATGGCATTGCATCGAAATCCGAGCTCTGCTGATCAGCTTGAATCGTTTCCACGACAGCTGGATCTCCGTAACCAGAACTAACCAAATATATGTATTTCATCGACATCTTTGGCGACTTTTGATCTGTGGATTTACCTGTACGGACTGCAAAACAAACGCCTTCCTCGCTGTCTCAATTTACTTGGGCATCCAGAGCGCGACTTTTACCCAGTACGCATAAACTACGTGTTAAATAATTACAAAATTCCTGACAAGGAAGTCTAAAAAAAATCTAAAAACTGGCATTAAGCTAAAAATGGTTGCCATTTCGGACAGTGTAATCAAATACATTGGGGCGTATTCATAGTCAAAATAAAGTCGACACTACAGTTAGATAGTTTTTGCCATAATTTTCAATGCACTATGTGTCAAACAAGCTGCAAGTTACTTTAAAATCGACTTTACTTCGGCTATGAATATGCCCCATAAGGCCTACAGGTATTCAAATAGTTAATCACAGATAACACAATATACATACATATGCACTTGTTTTGTTGAAGTTGGACCTTTTAAGGTACAATTTATTTATTTATTGATTACTAACATAATATACATACGTTTGTATTAGCACAGTTTACCAACTAAAATATTTTCTAATAAGTTGTATTTACTTATATTCTAACATAAATCAAGTAAGCTGATTCCAATACAATAATTAAATTAATATACAAAAAATAATTTTTCTTGTCTTATCCCACAGCCGCTTTCAAATATCTTAACTTCTAGCGGGTTAACTATTAGTCACCGATTCTTATAGCATTTTTTCCATCAGGGTCTGATCTTCAAATTATTCATAGTAGTATAACAAGGCACAATTTCGACTTTTAAATAGCCGAAAAAGAAGCTTTATCTTTGGATGTTTACCCCAAAAGTAAAATAAAGTAAGTTCCAAAACCGGAAGAATAAGTAACAAGTTTTTAAAAATTATAACGTTTTTATTATTTGTTGTTTTATTATATTCCACTTTCGTGCATTGATCAAACGTTATGAAAATTCCTAACTAATTGAAGAAGTGAAAGTATTAAATAATTTCGATTTTCTTTTTATAAGCTTAGGTTATTAACATGAGATGATTTACATCATATCCAAGCGCTTTTTTTAGACATTCGTTCGTAGCATCAAAAATTTAATTATTTTAATTAACATAATTCTATGAAAACATTTTATGTTTGTCTTTTGCTGATATATTCAAACTATATAATTTTAATTTTATATTCTGATACTAAGAAAACAAAAGTCTTTTAGAAATCAGCTCCCGAAACCTCTTCCGCTCTTTGTAGATCAGTGTTATTGATGTTGTCTCCTAAATCTCTTATTCCTTTTAGAAATGTGAAACCAATTTAGTCCTCGTGTGAGATGATATTCTCGCGTTATTTTGATATGCGGTATGTGTATAAATATTTCGACAATCAAAGGAATTATGACATTTTTATAAAGCTTTTGAAAATATATACACCCAACGACAATGGCATACCATACCGGTCGCCTCGGTTAGATTTATAATAATAGATTTGTATACCAGACGATATATGGGATCCTTAGTAGCTTTATGTTTTTACGGAGCTAAGTTTTTCATATTTTAGTAGGTATGTACCTATACCAATGATGGGCAAAACGCTACTCGCGAGTGGCGTCTGCGTCGCAGCGCTTATACGTATACAGAAACGACGCAGCGAATTTCAATTCAGTCTGCTTTCAGTTTTCATGAGAGTGATATCACGCTTCGCCGTTGAATATTTTTATTCGTAATTTCAGCGCGTTGTTGCCACCTATATATGTAACAATGCCCAAAATGGCTGCGTATGAGTGCCAATTACAATTTTCGGTTTTAAGAAAAGCCAATAATGCCCAATGCTTGTTATGTGGTAATACGACTACTTGGAATCGTTCTTTTAATATAAGGCGACATTATTTGTCATGGTAAAAAAGTCAAACTGCCGAACTGTGTAAACCAATTTAAAGTTTTTTGTAATGGGTTTTATGTATATATGTATGTACGATACGGCAATTTAATATATTTAGTATACTTTATTGAATACTGAGTTTTTTACAAAGTTTAGAAATTTTAAATTCGTGAATTTTGTTGTTGTTTTTAAAACATTAGTTTAATGAAATTAAATTAAAAAACTTTTCATGCACGTACATATGGACTTATAAAAATTAATTTCATAATTCATTATTTGAAATTATTTCTTCATTATTTTTTTATTATATTTTATTATTTTCGTTTCATGTTCATAATACAAATTAAATATAGCGTTTTCTAACACGCGCAAAAAACGACGCACTTTTGTACAATATAGAAAAGTGTCAACTGTTACTCAGCGCGATTCACGAATACCATGACAAAATGACACTGTATTGGTGTGCCCATCTATGACCTATACACACATCGTCGTTTAAAGTACAAACCGCGTATCGTCATTCTGCAAAGGCGCGTAATTGATCGATTGTTATCGATTTATAAAACTAGCCTGAAAGGGGTTTGCTTTATAAAAGAGAGAAATGTTTTAAATAAAAGAGAGAAATGTTTTAAATAAAAGAGAGTTGTTACTGTACAATTTTGGCAACCTCACGTAAGCGGTTTTGCATTATCTTGATACGTGGTTTTGTAGTACTTAAAACGACGATAAGAGTACGCCCTGCATATAAGAAAGCGAATTCCTTCTAAAAACGACGGCAGTTTAGTCTACGCGACTCAAACAGGAAGGGGTCAAGTCTAATGAGACTAATAATGTTTTGCTTCTAATTTAACTTAATTAGATATGTATATACATATGTAAGTGAAACGCCTAATGCTTTGTCAAGCCGTACTGAGATGTTTACAGATACAATTCTTAAATGATCTTTAGTATTTTTCATAATTGATGTTTTCCCCACAATTAACTAGTTTATACGGGGAAACCTGAAACGTCAATGAGTCGATTTGACTTGAATCGAGTATTTAAAAGTATTGAGATGTAAAGTAGTTTTTTAAGTTTCATTCTTGCCGGCATATTTGAACAAAATCTTGAATTTGCTTAATCTTTCGATTGCTCCAAAGAAACGAAAAAAAAAGTTTCAAGTACATTGAAGGAATGCGTTTAAAAACCCTTTCGAAAATCTCGATTTTTTCCTTAACTAACAAAATTTTATGGAAGAAATTTTTACCAGATCCTGAGTTTTATAACGAAAACGCCTACTAGTTTTACTTTTTAAATTAGCTAGGGATTTATATACATAAATATTCGACTCTTACTAAGTTCTTGTCGTAGGACACTTTAGAAACACTTGTTTACATCCACTGTTTAGTATGTATGCCTATGCATAAGAGTCACTTTAATCTTTTAAAGGAATTATTTTAACTACATAAATATTTATGTATACATATAAAATATTTTAGTTTGAATTTTGTATTATAATTTTAAAAAGCGCAACTGTTGACTATTACTAACTAATTGACTAAAACCACTTTTTGAAGCTCGCATTTATGGACCTTATTAACTTTCTAAAATATATGTACATATGTATGCAACTATTCATATCAATATATTTAATGTTTTATATACATTTGGTATACTTATGCAATCACTAAAAGTTTTTTTTTTATGAAAATTTATGTAATTTTTCGATTATATCCACAGATTTGGTCGCAAAAAACACTAACTTTCGATTGAACGAGTTACGAAAATAACGCAATAGTTCGCAAAATATTTCATACAAATTTTGATTGTTCAGTAGACAACTTACAAGCAAACAAAAAACAGCTCTTTGCAAGGCAATTTCTCAAAAAAAAAATAAGCAATTTGCTAGAACCTAGGAGTCGTCTTTTTACATTTTTTGGCAATTCCTTTTTTTTTTTTAATATTTACTGGCATTAGGTCGGTACGTTAGGATAAAAAGAACTGAGATCTGGTAGGTAAGTACTATAACGGGGTACTTGAGGTCAATGAATTTGCATCAAAATGAATTACCTCCACGAGACAAGAAGATTGATTTATCGTTCTTTAAGATCCTACTGTAAATGGCGAAGATAGAACAAAAAATGTAAAAAGGCGACAGTTACGTTCGAACAAAAAAAAACATGTAATTTTTATGCAAAAAATAAAACCGACTTCAATTCTCATATACAAATTTAGTAGCACCGTTAAATCCTTCATGATCAGATTATCGGATTAAAACCACATTAGTATGGGACCGCCTTTCCGGAAAAAAATAATTATCGAAATCAGGCCACGTGGTCCAAAAGTTATGCGGTAACACTTAAAAAAAAATATTCCAACGAATTGTTAATCTCGTCCTTTTTTGAAGTCGGTAAAAAATAATTGTCTTTTTTTCGAAATCACCTTGCAAAAATAGTTTGGGCGAAAAATAGGTGCACGGCGAACATTTTTTTCCGATACAATTTTTGACTCAATTAAGGTTTCGAACTATTGAGGGTTTTCAGGGCCTTTTTTTTAGCGTAATGTAGTCTTCTTATCCCAACGGCTATACCCTTAAACTGGTATAGCCTTCATTGAACTATTAAAATTTGTTTGGAAGTGTTTTCGGGTTTAAAATTGTCCAAGCAGTCTACACTGTATTATGAATCGAAAAGCAAATCATTCGGGCTCGAATACTTGGCACTCGTTCGTGTCGCTTTTTGAATCCCATTAAGTTTCGAATCGAAATACAGAGTAGACCCCCCTTCTTTTTTCTAATATAAGGGAATCGCCCAAATATTTTAATTCATCACAGCTACTATAGGCATTGCAAAGTATACAGTAAATATTTACACAAACATATTTATATATTTGGCTTGGGGAGGTTTTGAATTAAAGAGCAAAAGAGCTAGCTCTGTTAAGTGAACTACAATTTTCTATGGCAACACTGCAATAAAAATGGAAATGTACATAATTTTAACACATTTCGCATCTTTCAGGTATAAATAAAAAAGATTAAATTTAAATGTTACTGGTTGTCGTAGTTGTTTTTTTCAAATTTATGGCTTTTTATTATAAAATCACATAACGCGGTTTGCAAGTGGACTACTCATATATACATAAATATACATTCCGTTGCAAAACTATAAATCTAGGAAAAAAATCGTTGTAACAAATGTAAAAAAAACTAATTTATGCACGTTCTTGCCTCTTCCACACATTCTCGACTGGGTTAAGATCAGAAGAACACGCTGAAAAAGGGTTCGAATTTTGTTGCTTTCTAAACCACGCCGTCGGTCCGAGCAACACCTAATATTAGAAAATGTATATTCTAACAGCAGTCGCCCTTCGCCTGGCAATGGCAAACCTCCGAGTGTATTTCTGCTTCGAAAAAACGTATCATAAAACTAATTGCCCTTCGGAGGCGGCTTAAAATTGTGTGTCCCTCCATTTGGGTAACAACATAAAGACGCACACCACCACCACTTGAAGGAGAAGTTCGGTCAAACACTTAGCAAAAGTATAAGCGCCAAATATGTATTTATTTTAACCAAAAATTTGTCTTCTTCATCGTATATTTAAATCGCAGCTAAACTATTCCGCCCTTCACATTAAGCCATTTTTGAACTGAAGCTTTGATAACTTAAGCCTTCATTTCGGCTGATCCATCTGCGATGTCATTTGGCACCCTGTGGCACCCTACTAGAAAGTGCTTGCAGAGCATTGTGTTATGCTCCTTAATGGCGAGTATATGCGCCTCGTCGTGCAGGTGGTGTTGTGGGGCGACATCAGAAGGCATCCAGTCGCGCTCCGAAGTACCGTGTTTTTGCTAGTCTGCAGCTTTGTCCATTGTGTCCTACTAGTCCCCGGCGACCACACGGGCACTGCATAAGTTAGAACTGGCCGGCCAATTGCCTTGTATGTTGCTAACAATTTTTTTTTTTTACTTTGTCCTGACTTTGACCTTGTTGCGGGCTCTGTACTCTGTTGACAATTGCGGTTGTATGGTCCGAGAGGGAGAGCAGACTGTCTAAGGTAACTCCGAGGAGTTTTGGGTTATTCACCGTCGGAATTGGTTCGCCATCGACGTGAATGCCCCGCTGCATTCTGACCTCCTTCGTCCAGGTGGTGATTAAGGTTGCCGAAGAATTTGTAGGCGAAAAAAGCCCTCAAATAGGCTGCTGACAGCGCCTCAAAACAAAATAATCAAATGTGGAATATTCGAGAAAAAGATATGTACATATCGAGCCCTAACCGCCAAAATAACGTAAGCGACATTTTTTTTCAAAATTTTATTTTTGAAGCAGAAATATTCCTAGAACATCTAGATGCATTTCTGCATTAAAAATAAAATTTCGAAAAAAATGTCGCTTACGTTATTTTGACGGTTAGGGCTCGATATGTATGTATATGAGACCCGCGGTAAAATCGAAGCTTAAAAACTGAATATCTGGATGGGCGGAATAGGCATTGAATATTTAGTCTCGGGCCCATCCCTAGTATGGGGAACTTTCACACACCGGACAAATGTTATGCACATCGGGGTGAAGTGCGGATATGTCGGTAGAAGTTCTATAAGTCTATTAAAGTATCCAGACGCAATGAAACAACAAAAACTAAAGAATTCCGTTATGGAAACAAATGATGTTATTCTAAATTCCAGTACTCTATAGCAAATATTTTCGTAGATATGCGGTGTCAAAAATGCAGTATGTATGTATAGGTGGTGCCACGCCCACTTTTACAATAAGACTTTCTTACGGGAAATATTTTAAGTTAGACTTATAGCAATACATCGGTGAAAACTGCACTCAATTGCATGCATTCGTTTTTTGGGCGATGCGGGTACAAACATACAGTCAGACAAAAATTCAAAAAAAAATTGTTGATTTGGCTTTTTTGATGTGGTGACATGCCTACCACTTTTGGCTCCCTAAATAATCGGCTTGTGTCGTTGTTGTGCTAGTAAGGACACTGCTAAATTCAAAAACCATTTCCTAAATATGGAAATTGGCGCATTGGTTTTTACGCAAAAAATAATTGTTGATCAGTACA